GGTAAGTTAGGTATATTATATTGTTTTCTTGTTAATCATAATGTGATCACTTTTCTACTGTATAAATGTAAATTATATACAAGTAGGATTTATAGGTATTTTATTTTTATTTTATTCAATAAATAAATCATCCCTAACTTTTAAATTGTATTAGCAAATAGTTTTATCAGTAGCTGCAAATTAATGAATATACATAGTTTTGTTTTTCGATTATACATACCTACCTAGTACGTACTGTATTTTTCTTTTATTCAATTAGTAATCATAATCATAATGAAGCAAAGAATAAGTAGGATAATAGGGAACCGCGATTAAAAATAAGAAATATATAGAATTTGTCGATGAATGGTTATGCTTAGAAATCCCCGTTTTCTAGATTCCGTGAAGTTAGTGAGAAACTAAAAAACACTTTTTACCTCTATATCAATAAGTTTTAGTGCTCAATTAGTGCTTTCAGGATAGGTATACAAAAATAAAAATTAGTGCTAAAATCTATCATCGGTTATCCACGATTATAAAAAAAGTCCCGCTAAGTTCATTCTGAAATATGAAATGCTCTAATTAGCGCTACGTATGCTATAAACTTTCTGTGATTTTAGATTTTAAGAGAAGCGAAGGATTTATTGATTTTATAATGTCTGCTTTTCTTTGTGTGTGCAAATCTATCATTATTAGTTTTTTGATTTTATAGTATTTGCATATTTTGCGATTTTTTAGTTTTTGGTGCTTTTTAAAACTTTTTGAGACATTTTTGCATTTTTACCTGTTTTTTGAATCAAAATTGGTCATATTTTATGAAATTATATTTTGGTAAACGTAGATTTTTTTCAATTGAATTATTACGATAATTTCGTACTAGGTATTTGGTTGTAATTTTTATCTGCTGATTTTTTTTTGTTTTATTGTCGATTTCTATTTCGATTATTACTACGATTATCAACAAATGAGTAAACAATGCGTTGTATAGTCAATTCATTTGGATTCTGATCAGAGTGACTAAATTTTTTCAAATCTTAAGTAACTACCTATAATAATTTGTAAGTGATTAAAAAATTATTAATTAATAAATTTCTTTTTTTTGCAAATTTTGTTGTTTTTATTGCATATATTTAGCTCATATTTAGTGATATTTAAGGTACTATTAAATCGCACATTTATGCAATTTTAAGTGCTATAAAATCCCAACCCTGAATTTGACGCGGTCCCGCGCAAAATCTGTTTGAATTCAAACAGCCTTTGCGCGGAGGCCGCGCCGTGGCTTCTCAAACAAACCGCCAATCGACGACGGACGACGCCGGCGCGCGACACGCGCGCCTGGAACCGTCGGCCGGCCGTCCGGCGAACCGGATTGTGAAGGCGCGCTCTCTCGTCTTCGCGATACCGACCTGGACACACGACAGCGGTACACACACGTTCTGTGAAATTCCGAACTCTACAAACTGTCAGAAAACATTGAATGTGTTCTTTTTGTTTTTTTGTTTGACTCGCGTCGCTGACAATAATAAACGGTTAATCACCTCTCAGTGCGACGTTCGTTGTTTTTTATTTTCTTTTATATTCTTTTATTATACCGTCTGTTTGTTCCGATCCGACTGTCCCGTCGGTCACCACCACATCAACACCCACGCGGCACAAGACAAGTCCGAGTCAAATTCATTAGTTTTTGGAGCAGTAAAAATTCTTTGATTTTCTACTTCAGCATTGTTTCTTGTATTAAAGTGAATCTAGTTGGTCCTAAAATAATTCCAGTACTTTTCTAAAGCATCATGATAACCAAACAAGAATTTACCTTCATATGTATTCACCATTTAATAAATTATGATTAATAATATTATTCAATTATTATATAATACATTTTTTTTTTAATATCCATATTATATTTATTTGATTACAAATTATAAAAATAGAATAAATTAAATTCCAGTGTATTGCCTCGACATAAAACCACAATAATATTATGAATTTCACGATTTCGTATAAGTATTTAAATTATTTATAAAAATAATGTAAAACAATTTAATTTAACCATCAAATGATTACATATATTTTTAAAAGAACGTGAACTAGAACGTGAAAGAATTCTATTTTTTAGTGAACTTTCCGAACATTGTTTAAGATATATTTTTTTAGGAATTAAATTATACATCTGTGAATATTTTTAATAATTATATTTAAATATATATATATATAATATATATTTATTATATTTAAATATATTTTAAAATTATAATTGTTTGAGAATTTTAGATTTTTAATTTTTAATCGGTTATAATATATTTGCTTACTCTAATGATACCCCATTGTTTTTGAAACATAAAATTTTTTTTTTTAATATAACCATTAACATTATTTTAGATAAAATTAATAGTATAAGTCACCTATTATATTATAATAATTTACAACGTAATTTGAGAATGACGGTTTAGTGTCTTACAAGTCATACATTTAAAACAGAAACTTTGAATTCAGCAGAACTAATTTTTTATTGTTAACTTTTATTGGTTCATTACCAAATTTCGAGGTCGGAGGACTATCAGGGTATCTCCAATGAATTTCGATGGTATTTTAATATTTATGTTAGTTATAAAAATTTGCAAAATATTAATAGGTACCTATAACCATTTAAATATCAATTAATATGTAAAAGTTTACCTAGATAATATTATTAAATTTAAGTTGGATAATATAGTTAAATTATTCCATATAATATAAAAAATAAAATCACAAAATTAGTTTTGCTAATCAAAAATGTTTGTATATTAGGTTTAGTTACCACATAGATTTAAAAGCAAGTTTTACTTCCTCTTCGAAGTCAACTATATTATCACAACCTCATTATAATTGCAAAACAATATATTTTTTACTAACCATGAATTTATTTTAAAACAAGACAAAAATGTAAATCATGAACCAGAAGTTGATGTCGGTAAGTTTTATATATATTTGGTTTCCAAATAGATTTTAAAGCAAGTTTTACTTCCTCTTCGAAGTCAACCATATTATCACAACCTCATTATAATTGCAATATCATATATTTTTTACTAACCATTAATTATTTTAAAACAAGGCAACAATTTAAATCATGAACCAGAAGTTGATGTCCGTAAGTTATATTATATTGTTTTCTTGTTAATAATAATGTGATCTTTTTTTCCTGTATAATTGTTATTTGTAGTAATGTGGATAGGTATTTTAATTTTAGTCAATGATGAAAAATAAATTACTTATCGCTAATTTTATTCGAATAGTTTTATCAATATCTGCAAATTAATGAATGTACTTACTTATTATTTCTTTTTTTTTTTGGTCTTATGTACTTATTTAGTACCTAATGTGGTTAGTGATTTCAGCGTATTCAAAAATAAAAATGAGTGCTCCAATCTACCATCCATTATCCACGATTGTAAAAACGTCCTTCTAACCTCACGATGCGAAAATATGAAATGCTCTAATTAACGCTATGCTATCAACTTTCTGTGATTTTATATTTTAAGAGAAGTGATGAATGTATTGATTGTATTATGTATTTTTTTTTTGTGTGTGTGAATCTATCATTATCTTTTGGAGTATTAAAAATTCTTCAATTTCCTACTTCACCATTGTTTCTTGTAGGAAAGTGAATCTAGTTGGTCTTAAAATATTCAAAGTACTTTTCTAAAGCATTATGAAAAACAAACAAGAATTTACGTTCATATTTATTTATAATTTAATTAATAATGATTAATAAGAGGTATATTATTCTCAATCGATAACAAAATAATGAAAATGGTATACGTGAAATTCCAGTATGCTGGCTCGACATACAACAACAATAATATTATGAGTTTCACGATTTTGCATAAGGATTTAAAGGATTTATATAAATAAAATAAAACAATTTAAATGAACCATCAAATGATCGAATATATTTTTCAAAGAACGTGAACATGATCGTGTTTCTATTTGAGAATTGAACGTGAACGTGAACATATTCAATTTTTTGATTTAATATTTTTTTAGAATTTGAATCATACATCCATGATTATTTTTTAATTATGGTAATTGTACTTGTGTTAATAATTCTTATAGATTATTTTTAATCATAATGAAATGATAAAAATAATGATAAAATGAGTTCAATTTATGATTTCTAGAGACATTTTATTTATACTGATGAAACTTGTGTGAATTTTTTAAAACAAAAATAATTTCGTGAAAAAAATCAATTATGTCAGTAATGAAATGTGTGGTGGCGTTCTCAAAGAATGTTATAAGAATAGCCACAAACGGAATTCTGAAGGGCACCTTGTGAAATAAAAATACTTACGTTTCCAAACACGTGGTAGTTAAACTATCAGTCAATTCGTAAAAAAAAATCATCCGTTTTTCACCTATGCCGTTATAATGAAAATGTAATAACGGATTAAGTTAATGCTAGATTGGAGAACTCGTCTGGTATTGGGCACATGATATGAAAGTAACTACAACTACTATAAAATGGACAGGTAGAAGTCAAAGTACAGTGTCAGATTGGTACAATCATTGCTGTGCTTTTTGTGTTGACCAATTTGAAAAAAAGGTACGAGAATGGAGGGTTTAGGAATTGAAGTGAAAATATACGAATCTCTATTTCAAGGCAAGTGGAAGTAGAACGGTAGTCGTCTACGTCTAGAAGATTGTCAAGCTAGTTAAGAAATTATCAGAATCCAGCAGTTCTGATACTGAAATAACCAATCGAAATTATTGTTTACCCGTACAGTGACGGTGGGTGTTTGGAAAGTGTTGCAGATGTGATAATATAGTAGAACGTCGATTGTTTATCGTTCAAGACTGAGCCACTTGGCTTAAAATTATTCAAAGAGAAAAGGAGCCTGGGACGACCATTTGCTCAGATGAATGAAAAGCTTGCAGTAGTTTAAACGATCATGGCTATATCCACAATACCGTAAATCATGAATATAACTGCATTGATCCACTAACAGGAGATCAATAACCTAAAAATAAAATTAATAACTCTATTTCTACCTACCTAATCCCTGTTCTAATAATGGTGTAAACTCTTCTTGAAAAATTTGAGCGGTTGAACATGTTGTATCAAGTGCACGTTGTTTTGCAATATTATATATTTTTTTTACTTCAATTTTTGCCAAGTCATATTTACATTTATGATTGGTAACACTTAAAACTTTAGTACCTGTCGTTTTTAATCTTCCTTTGCATTTGTCTTGTTTTTTCTCATTCAAGTATACCCAGGTTATAATATTTGCGTTATTTATTCGATACTTTCTATATTTATAGTCGTCGTGTATAGCTAGAGGATGACCTTTAGTTGTTTCTATCACTTCAAACGAATTATTCATTTTAATTTAAATTTTAAATCAAAACACTGTTAACAAATCGAACTGTAGGTACCAAGGCATGTATAATACTAAATTACTAAACACTGAGTGAATATTGCCGACGATGTTAAAAATTTTAAAAATAAAATAAAATAAAATATACCTAAACGTTATCGGCTTATTGATACTCACATCGAATATCCACAATCAACCAAATGGCTGTATCACAAATTGGTTTATCCAGTATAAATAAATATCACGGCCAACACACTTTCATACTATGGCGTATAACGTGTAAGTAGATGAATTGTGATTGACAAAAATATTATTTATAATAATTATAATAAGGTTTTAAAAAAAAATATGGTATGTTTTTTATGTAAGTACAGTGAATTTTGATTGACAAGTATATAATTATATCAAGTATAGTAAAAAAGTGTTATAATATTATACCTATTAACATAAATTAAGTATATAGTATATAAAACATTATATATAGCACCCAAATCTTATAGTCAGTTAGATAGAAATAAATTGACCGCAAATGGCACGCAAAAGGTGCCGACCGCAAATGTCCCGACCGCATCGGTGCCGACACCAGCTATATAATAGTAGTAATAGTACACTTTAGAAGATTCAAGTACCCATGAATAATATTATTCAATCACAACAAAGTAACTAAAATAGTTATTCTAGGTTTTTTAATATGTAATTTCGTACAAATTTGAATTTAAAATGTCTGTAAAAAATAAGTGTGTTCATATATTTTTTTTAGATTTTTTGGTTACAGTATGAACTATTTATGAGAACCTTTGTTTTTAATTTGCAATCCTTAGCTATAAAAACTGAACATTTTATAATTTATTAATTACAATGATTGATAATTGTCGAGATTTTGATACATTTTGTCAAAATTCGATCATTAAATGCTTATAAAAAAAAATTGTGCCAATGTATTTTTAATATTTTTCAATTGCTATTGTAACAATATATCAGGAGCCCTGTATTAAATTTTTACACTTTTTTGCCCAACAGATAAAACTTTATTGATATTTATAGAAAAAAAAACTAAAAAAAATTGAAAGCTGTAAATGTCCGTAAACAGCTCAAAAAGAGTCAAAATATTTTCAAAATTGTATGGTGTATCGTAAATGCTAATTTAAACATTCAGTGAAATTCCCATGTATCCACAGTCATTCGTTTTTGAATTACAACAAAATAAGGAAATCGCTACATGAGAAATCGAGTGAATATCCAATGTTGTAAACATTTTAATTTCAATTTTAAATTTTAATTAATAGGGAAATCATTGCAAATATAAATTGCTGGTGAACTTCTCACAAGTGTTTCCGGTTTCGTAGTCGGCGACGGAGCTAGTTGTTCTTGTTGTGGGGCTGCTCAGTGTCGTATTTTATTTTTTTTTTTTATTATTGATAAGGCTTCCACAGCTTAGGTTATTAGTCTACAGAAAGTTTTAACAATGTAAAATTATGATTATTTACAACTTATTGTTTAAATGTATATAATAAAAAAATTTGTACATAGCTTCTGTGTTTTCTTCGCTGAGGGCAAGTCGGAGAGAAGATGGATTTTTGAATATTTTCCGAGCTACGGCGTATTTTGGACATCTAGTGACAATATGATCGATCGACAGGTCCACGTTGCAAGCGTCACATAGTGGAGCGGGTTCCTTGGTGATGAGGAATGAGTGGGTGAGATGAGTATGGCCTATTCTGGCACGGGTTATAATGACCTCATCCCTTCTTTTGAGGTTACAGGGGAAATTCCATTTTTTTTATGGAAGGCTTGATATTTCTCAGTTTATTTGAAAGAGGGACGCTGGTCCATTTTGTTTGCCATGTGTCAGAGATTTTGGTATTAATGATGTCGAGCAACTCTGAGGATGTAGTTAGGTTTATTTTTAGGGCATTATGAGGAAGTGTGGCTTCATTTGCGGATTTATCTGCTCTTTCATTGCCAGAAATGCCGACGTGAGAGGGGACCCACATGAAAGAGAAAGTTTTGTTAGAGATAGATATCAGTTTTTGGATGTGTTGTACTAGTTCATTCTTGGAGTATGGATTTTAGATAGATATTAAAGCACTCAAAGAGTCGCCTATGATGGTGAAAGAATCTGAATTTGAGGAGGAGGCGATTTTCAGTGCTTCAAGGATGGCATAAGTTTCTGCTGTGTAGATATTGGTGCTAGGGGGTAGTGAGAATTTATGATTTTCATGACCTATGATTGTTGCAAAGCCCACTCCATTAGAATTTTTGGATGCATCAGTGTATATGTGTGTACTGTTGGAGTATTGTTGAGACACTATTTCTGAGAAGAGATTGCGGATGATATTGCTGTCAGTGGAGTGTTTGCAGTAGTTGATGAGTTGAGTGTTGATATTCGGAGACCACAGCCAAGGGGGCGACTGACGTTGTACTTTGCTGAATGTTTGAGTTTGAAGGCCGAGATTTTCACTGATAATTTTGAAATATTCAAAAATTGTGTTCCTGTTGTTGGGTGAGTTGTAGGAGAGGGGATTATGGAGTATCTTACTGGCTATATGGTTGGGCATACTTTTGATTCTTGATATGAATTTAAGTATCTGAGTATGACGTCTAAGTTCAAGAGTCAGTTCACCAGCATTACACAAGATACTATCTACCGGGCTAGTCCTAAAAGCACCAGTTGCCAGACGAATACCTTGGTTGTGTATAGGATTTATGGTGTTGAGAGTGTTACTTTTTGCGGAATTGTAGATTATAGCACCATAGTCGATTACCGAGAGAATAAGAGACTTGTAAATTCTGAGAAGACTTTTTGTCTCAGATCCCCATGTATTGTTTCCGAGTGTTTTTATAATTTTCATTCTTGATAAACAGTCTGCTTTGAGTTTTTTCAGGTGAGGGCGCCAGTTTAGTTTGTCATCAAAAGTGAGACCCAGAATTCGAATATTGCTGATAAATGTCAGAGAGGTATTCATGAAAGTGATAAGGGGTAGAGGGTCTTTTCTCCTTTTATTGAAGATGATACTTTGCGTTTTAGAGGGAGAAAACGAAAATCCTGATTCTGTTGACCATTTGGTGAGGGCGTTCAGTGACAGTTGAAGAAAAAGAGAGGTTGTTTCAATTTGAGACCCACTGCAGTAAATATTGCAATCGTCGGCGAAAAGAATGTACTTCACAGGCTTAGGGAGACTCTTACAAATGTAATTTATGGCGACTAAGAAAAGAGTCACGCTAAGCTCAGATCCTTGAGGCAGTACATTAACAATATCATGAGAGGAAGATAGGTGGTTATTGATTTTTACACAAAATTTACGATTGGCTAGAAAATTTTTTATAAATTCTAGGAGGTTTCCATTGAGGTCCCAACTGTGAAGTATTGATAGCACTCGGTTTTTCCATACAGTATCATATGCTTTTTTTATGTCAAGTGCTATTGTAATAAAGTGCTGGTTGTTCCTAAAGGAGGAGCAGATATCTGTGTGTATTAAGGATAGCGCATCAAGTGTCGAGTGGTTACGTCTAAAGCCACATTGCTCTTTGGCGAGGTGGTTTTCTGATTCAAGGACCCAAATTAAACGTTTATTTGTCATTTTTTCAAGAAGTTTGCTTAAAGTGCTAATCAGCGATATTGGTCTGTAATTCTCAATTTCGAATTTGGTTTTACCCGGTTTAGGGATGGGTATTACATAAGCGTTTCGCCATTGATTAGGAAAGAAACCTTTTGTCCATATGGAGTTGTATATATGAAGAAGTGTTTGAGTTCCTATTACAGGTAGGTTTTTGAGGAAAATGTACGGTATATTGTCAGGCCCAGGGCTATTGCTGGTGCAAGATTGTAATGTTGAGGTAAGTTCTGACATATCAAAGCGAAGGTTGTAGTGTACATTTGTTTGACTAATTTCTGGAATATTATTGTTGGCGTTTCTGTATGAAATGAAGTCGAGGTCGTAGTTTTCATCGCTGTTGTTCTTTTGAAAGAACTGTGCAAAAGATTCAGAGGCATTGGGAGTAGAGACAATTTTGTCTTGGTTGTAGTATAATATGTCAGGAATTGTTTTGAACTTGTTTCCTTTTAATGAGTTGATTTTGTTCCATATTATTTTTGGTGATGCTTTTTGATTTATGGAGGAAGTGAACTCTTGCCATGAAAGAGTTTTGCTATTCTTGGTAATAAAGCGAGATCTGGCTCTTGCATTTTTCAAAAGTATATGGTCCTGGCATGATTTGGTTTTTTTATAGCGGTTAAGTTTCTTTTTGTAATTTAGTATGGCCTCATGACAATCTTAATTCCACCAAGGGACATTTTTATTTCTAGAAGAAAGGTTGGTTTTTAGTCCGATTGATTTATTGGCCGCTTCTATGATGATGTCCGTGAAAAGTTTAACTATTGAGTCAATTTCAACCTGATTATCACAACAATTGAAATCTATTGGATTGTTGCTTAGGTCATGCTCAATTAATTCAGAGTAGAGTTCCCAGTTGGGGTTCTGGAGGTTCCAATGGGTACTTAATTGGGAGGGGGGAGAATGATCAAAAAATTGGATTCCGATTGGCCAGTGGTCGCTGCTGTTATACGATGTTAGTACTTGCCACTCAAATAGTGATGCAGAATTTAAGTTTGTGATAGAAAGGTCGATTGCAGAGAAGGTTCCGTTGGCAATGTTGTGTCTGGTGGGCTCATTATTGTTAAAGAGAAAGAGGTTCTCGTCGTCAAGCAACTCTTCGACCACTTTTCCACGGTCGTCAGTGTGGGAGCATCCCCAGGAAATATTTCGGCTGTTAAAATCGCCTAAAAGTAAGAAGGGTTTGGGAAGTTGCCGTATGATATCTATGAGATTTTGTTTTGTGAATTTTTTACTGTCAGGAATATTAATATTGCATATACATAAGTGTTTTTGGAATTTAACAAGTGTAGCAACTACTTCAAGATCGGAGATAATGGGGATGTTTTCGCTTTCAAGAGAATTACTAATGAAGGTAGCGACACCTCCGCTTGCCCTGTTGGCAACAGATCTGTTTTTAAAAAAGGCCGAGTAATTTTTGATGTGAGCAATATGTGAGTCCTTGAGGTTGGTTTCTTGGAAGCAAAGAATTAGGGGTTGAAAGTTGTAGACAATACGGTTAATGTCGACTGAACGTTTGTAGAAGCCATTGATGTTCCATTGAATAAATGTGCTCATATTTAGGTTATTTTGGTTTGTTATGGCAGGAATTTGAGTGGTTGGTTTGTGAATGGTTACTGTAGAGGAAGAGATTGAAATAGAAGAGTTGATAGCTTAGTGATTTTGGTTTTTGTAGCTTTATCGCTTATCAGTGGTTTGACTTGTTCAGTTATTTTTTGAAGTGTTTGGACGTCTACGCTGACTTCGTCACACAGAGTATGGATATTTATGGATTTATTTGTGAAGTTCTCCATTATGTATATGTATTGAGAAAGTGATATAGGAATTTCGATATTATTTGAGAAGAGACCTTCTACTGGTTTGAGCCCTTCATTGAGTTTAGAGTGGATGTTTTCAAGTGAACTGCTTTTTTTTTGTTTTTTGATTGGTTCGAGAGAATTGCCGGGTTTTTTTTTGAATATAAAATTTTTTCTCTTAATGTTTTGGGTTGTGCGAAATTATCATTAACCTGTTGATCGATATGATGGGTGCTGAAGATGACGAGTTACTAGGCGATGGAGGAGGTCTTTTGATTGATTCATTTGGTATGACTATATGTTTATTCGGTTGCATTGGTTTTATAAGGTTTGGAACATCTACGTTGTTTGGGGTATCGTATATATCTATATCCGTTAAACTTGTATCATGTGGGCCATTGGATATTAAATGTTCCGAAAATTCTGTTGTTTGTCTACTATTATTGTTGACGTAGGTATTTTTAGGATAATTCTTGCAGGAGTTAGAGGTATGCCCGGTTTGTTTACATGTATAACAAGTGAGAGTGTCGTCATTTATAAAGATTCTGAAATCGGTGTTATCGAATCTAATAACAATTGATCCTGGAACATTTGCGATATCGTCGGGGCGAATGTATACCTGGCGACGAAAGCTGCTTATATGTGCCAGTTCGTCTTGAAAACCGGCTTTCAGAAAGGTAATTTGCGATAGTGTTCGAATGCCGTATGAGATTAAATATTCGTTGATTACGTCATGCGGTATTATCGGATGAGCATTAGAAATGATATATATTTTTGCTGGGTTAACCAAACGACAAAAAGGGATTTGATGTTCGTTTATTGTTATACAGGAAAAATTTTGTATTAGTTCATCGACGGTACATTTGTCCGTAAAATACACGCAGAAACGATTATTAGAAATACGAGGTGCAAAAGATATTTTTTTTGTTGATGTAATTTTGCTGAGGGCTTTTATGTATTCTAATTGAGGTATATCATTGATAGTGTTTAAGTGTTTGGCTTGTTCTTTTTTTGGATATTGAGTGTTGGCAGTGGTTTCAGCGAAGGTTTTTAATTGAGATGTAGATTATGTATTTTGTTCTTGGGAATTCATGATTGATAAAATTACCTTAGCAATAATATCAGATATTTGCACCGGTGTGCGCTGGCGGCTTAATTAAGTAATTACGGGTCAAGATAAGAAGTTACATACCTGCCCGATGGTTACTGTTATGATGATATAAATTATATACTGCTATCGGAAGCTAATAAATACGTAACACACATGCGTCTTGGACGGAGGCCAAACACGTACGTCGTATTTTATGAGCTTATTTTTACAATAATTAATATTTGGGGTACAGGTCGCTCTGTCAGCGTAGGTCGAGGCGCCCTACAGCAACGGATGATAGCCAGCTGAAACTCGGAGATAACGGTTACTATGTGGGTCGAGGGTCAGGGGACAGGTGTTGCATAATATGGCCACGGTTATTCTACCATTGCGGGAACCACTTATGTAATCGTAATAATAACAAAATACTAAGAGCGTTATATCATATACGTTATATATCAACATATACGACAGAATATTGAATTCAGCAGAACTAATTTTGTTTTGTTCACTTTAATTGGTTCATTACAAAACTTTGAAGTCGAAGTACTATCTGGGTAACTCCAATGGATTTCATTTTTATTTTAATGTTTATGTTATCAAAGTGCTCACAACTCACATAACCATTTAAATATCAATAAAACCGAAAAAGTTTACCCAGGTAATATTATTGTACAATGAACATCACAAGATTGGTTTCGCTAAGTAAAAATGTTTGTATATTGACTAATAATTCATACTTAACACATTTTAAAGTGAGTTTGACTTCCTCTTCAACCATATTACAATCTCATTATCATTTCAATAAAACATATTTTTACTAACCATAAATTATTTTAAAACATGATCCAAAAGTATATGATAATCCAGAAGATAATCTTGGTAAGTTTATTACATTTATTTCTTACTAATCATAATGTGACTTTTCTACTGTATAATTGTTATGTATATAAATGTATGATGAATAGGTATTTTACTATGATTATTTTTAACAATTGTATTAAAGTTACGTTAATTGTAATAAATTGTTCTTAATAATTACACAAAATAAATAATATTCACCAATTATAACTATTCTATAATACTGTTATCATTTAAAAATTTAAATTTAAATTTCAATTGTTTGAGAATTTTATATTTTTAGATAATTGCAGTAATATTGGTGTCAGCATAGGTAAGTTAATATCTTATTTTACCTTAAAAAATACTTTGAGAATAACTCACCACTCACCCACATTGTTTTACGAATGTAGGTACTCCAGAAAATTTCAGTTTATTAGAACTAATTCTTTATTGTAAACTTTAATTGACTCATTATCATTTATTAAACATTGTGGTTGGAATATTATATGGTCTTGGTATTGCATAATAATTTCATTGCTATTTAAATTTTTAAGTTTTTATTAAGATTTCAAAATATTACAATATAAAAATAGTAATAAAGTCGTAACTAACGTCATTAATAA